TGCGGAGGTTCCACTCCACTCTCACTTACTGCCTAAGCCTCCATTGCAACTTACTGCTGAAAGCAGTGTCAGTGATCCATCTAAGATACACACCTTGCAGTCGGATGTCGCTATTCTTTCCTGTAGGCTCAGCTTGGCTATGATGCCTGGTACAACTCGACAACAGAGGAAATAGGGAATAAGTGTGAAACGTGTCTGTCGCCAGGAATTACTTGTATAAAAAGAAGCAGTTGAATCTGCCGGTCATGGAGTTATAAAGATATGATCTTATGTGGATCTCAGAAGGAACATGGTACAGTGAAGGCATTGTGATGTAGTGTAGATTGTATATTTGCCTTGAGCGTGGAGGGGAGTGGTGATATCAGTAGAGATTGTAATTTGCTATATACGTGAGAGAATGATCAATAAATGGTTCCTGTGCTGCCACTGTATGTTGTAAAAGATGGAAATGGAATAAGATTGGATTTGCAATGGCCTTTTTCTCCTCTCCAATCTTGTCACTGTGACAGACTCCAGCCTTTCGAAGAAAGACCCCAAAAGGGTTCCTCTGGGCTGTGGCCAGTGCTGGTGCTCGACAAAGGATTATTTTACAAATGCAAGAATTATTACTAAAAATAATCATGATATCAATAATAAGAATAAGAATAAATACAAGGCCAGGGATCTGAGCGCAAACCTTTCCCCAATCCTCTTGCCTTTTAATGTTTGTCTCAGACAGATTCAATCCGGTAAGACACCACGTTGAGAGCGGAGGGTGATGCAGAAATCCAATCTATTCGGCAAAAGTATAACTGGCTATCTCAGACGTTTCCGGGAGGCTTATTTCGATTGGATGGCCCTTGAAAAAGATTCCACTTAATTACTTATTTTAATCCAGCGTTAGGAGGGAAATCCAGAGCACCACCATAATCCTAAATCTAATACAAAATAATGCATTATTTGTTTATCAGATGGTGACGGGACAATTAGGTTATGTAATGCATTGATACCGACCAAATCAGATTAAAAATGCACGTCACACTGCAAATACAAAGCAGCTTTTCATTTTGTTCCTCTCGGTCTCCAATAAGCATTTATTTTCTGGAAACGTCTTCTTGCTTTCATCCGCTGCTGGTGAAGCTGCTTTTTGCTGGATGTGAGGCACCGTTGTGATTATTGCAGAATGCTCGCTTCATTTCAACAAGTCAATTAACCCTTTTTCTCTCTCTCACACACACACATACACACACACCATCCCTATGTAGAATAAAGCAGCAAATACAACATCAAAAACCACCACACCAGCAGCATCCACCTAACACCAACAAACACTGTAACTTGAATTGATGTAGCACTCTTCATAGAGGATAGTGACTCAGAGTGCTGACCAATGGTGGGGTTGGAAGCCAAGCGACGGAGAGGGGAAAGGACGTAAAATGGAATTTAAAGATAGATAAAGAAGGAGCCATTGAGGCAGGAAATTCCACAGGTAAGGAGTGTATTGGCTGAAGGCACCGACCCTGATGGTGGTCTTGTGGGGTGGGGGCCGTGCAGCAGGCCTATACCAGATAAGCAAAGAGGGAGGGCAGAGGAAGTGGGGTAGGGGCAGGTCAGAGAGGTGGGGAGATGCTTGGGTACGAAGGGATTTGTATGTGAGGGTGAGGATCTTGAAATCAATCCTTTGAGACAGGGAACCAGTGGTGCATAGTGATGATTGGGGTGACGGGTGGACAGAGTTTGGTATGGGTGAGAATCTATTGCCCCATCTCCTACTCTACCTCATTTTTTTTCAGAATCTCACCTCCTTCAGTCCTTAACTCCCAACAAATATATATAACGGTACTATTGAAACCCAAGCTTAAAATCAGCTAATCGTCTTGATTGTCTCATATGTTGTTCCAATAGTTTCTTATTATTCACCTTTCAGTCCGGTTTCTCAATGGGAACAAAAACGTGATTCAAATAGTTTATAAATGGGTAAACTGATACTCAGAAGTACATTACAGCCTGGAATCTGATCAAGGATGTTTTTTTCAAAACATAATGGATACGCAGGAATGATTTACAGTGTGGATAGCCAGAGACAATTGGCAGTGAAATGAGAAAGAGATGAATCCATTCTGAAATGTTATTTTTATCCTTAATTTTAAAGGATTTTGCTGAATACAAATATATAGTGCAAACAATACAAACCTGTTTCAGCTAATTTATCTAAAAAAAATTTAAAAATGCTGAATGAAACATCATCAGATAAATTGCATCTTAATCGTCTCATTTGAGTCATACCTCTATTGCTTTTCCAATGGCTGTTGGTAGAATAATGTGGCATCTGTATGTCACCTCTTGGCAGAAACTTCTAGAATATTTCTACCAAGTGGGCTATATAGCATGTTGGAGTCAGAGGTAGATGTTATTTTAATAATAATAATATAATAATAATAATCCTTGCATTTGATATAGCGCCTATCACATCTTTGAGACGTCTCAAAGTGCTTCACATGATATACTGTAAAGTCAATTGACTATATTTTAAGTAGGTTATTCTAGAACCATCTTATATAATCATAGGAATCTACAGTTCAGGAGGCCATTCAGCCCATCGAGTCTGCACCAGCTCTCAGAATAAGATGTCCATTTTAATCCCACTGCCCCACCCTTTCTCCGTATCTCTTCAAGCCTTTACCCTCATCAACTTCTTTCTTTAAACCTACAATGGACCCTACTTCATTACCTTACTTGGCAAGTCATTCCACATCCAAACAACTCTCCTTTTGCTCTTCTTGTGATTATCTTGAATCCATGTCCTCCAGTCACTGACTTATCTTTTGATGGAGTTGAGAGAAAAAAAATACACATCCATCAGTATCCACGTTAGCTTTCTTTCTGCCTCTCTACTAGACGACCTGCCTGAACTCTGTGTCCCAGGATTTTTTGGTGTCCTTGATTTTACCTGATTGTAACTTCATTCTAAATATTTTATTTGGGGGATTTGGTGGCCAGGATGCCTTAATGTCCACCTGAACAGGTACAGATGGGACCTTGCTTTAACGTCTCATCCGAAGACACAAAATACCCAGTCAATCCACTTTACAGTATACCCTGTGAAGAGCTTTAATAATAATAATCCTTGGATTTGATAGAGCACTTTATCACGTCTTCGAGATGTCTCAAAGCGCTTCACAGAATATACTGTAAAGTCAATTGACTGCATATTTTGTGGGTGAAATGCAGCAGCATTATTATTATTCATTATAAATATGTAACAGGACAGTGAGGCTGCTGCTTTATAAAGAACAGAGTTTCTCCTGGTGTCCTACCATACAATCCCCCAATAAAATTGGTCATTCACTTCTCTACTTTCCTCCTCATCAATTTCCATCTTCAGAGAGCCTACTATGTTCCTAATTTAATACTTTTAATTAGATAGTGTGTTGCATGGAGACGTTTAATGATTAAGAGTATAATTATAGGAGGTTCAGGTCTAAAACTGATTTGCAGAAGGTTTAATTGCATTCTGTATTTTAGTAATTCTAGTCCCTGAACAGAGGCCGACGATTCTAGTTTGCAGGAAGATCTGCAGAATTTTCTTTCCCTCTAATAATTTTCTGCCCTTCTCGAGACGTTTTTAACTCTGAATGATGTGCGGTTTCACAAGCACCAAATGCCCTCCAGTGGCCTTTCTTCATGTGCTTGGACGGTGAGCAAGTTATTTCCCTTCTGTAAGTTCCCCTGCTTCCTCACTCAAGCGTGTTCCCGAGGTCAACCTTGCCATCAGGGAGTTGTGCTAAGCAAAAGCCTAATTCTATTCTAATTCAAGGGATAGACGCTTGTGAGACAGTTAACTGCATTGCAACTGCCACAGAGCTTGGGTCAAAGGTTCACACAATGGTCAATAAGGCCCAATAGTCTTTTCAGGTGGTGCATCCTTTCGCAAACCCAAGTGACTTGACCATCTTGGATCCAGTTTGGCCACAACATTTGCCCCACCTGAAGATGTTGAATTTCGTCAAATCGGACCTCTTCTAGAATCACGCAGCCTGGATTTATTTTCAGAGGAAATATTGTAATTGAGGAAATCCAGGTGAAAGGCAGGACACCCGGCAAGGCTAAAAAGAACAGATGAAAGGAGATAAATCAAGGCTGGGTTAGGTAACCAGTTACATGTGTTTCCACCACAGCCTAAGATTTCAACTCGGGACCTTCAATGTCTGTTTAGACGCCAGGAAAATGTTATATTTTAACAATAATAATCCTTGCATTTGATATAGCGCCTTGTCACATCGTTGTCACATCGAGATGTCTCAAAACGCTTCACAGAATATGCTCGTGTAAAGTGTATTCTTAAATGTATGTAAGTTATCCATTCTAACCTACTTAATTATATAACCATTTATTCATTCTAACCTATGTCAACAGTTGGATATAGGAACATGCAGGAGCTGGTTTTAATTATAGTTGGCAGTTTATTACAAACTCTTCTCCTAGCATTCTGCACGGGATCTGAAATTATTCTTACAGACTGGCACCACCGTGACAAGAAGTTTTAGTCTTTAGTCTGCATTGGCGACCAGCCTCTTAACTGAACTCTCTCGGCTCAGATATTGAGCCATTTGATCAGTGTACTGGAGGGCTTCTGGAACCATATACACACACACACACACACAAGTGAGCCAGGAGGAGGGAGCAATGAATAATATAACAATAAGAATTCTTTGCATTTGATATGGCGCTTTGTCACGTCGTTGAGACATCTCAAAGCGCTTCACAGAGTGAATTGACTATTTTTGGGGCGAAACACGGCAACCAATTGTGCGCAGCAGTGACCCCCAAACAGTCATGAATTGAGCGAGCAAATTCTTATTATTATTTAAAATTTATTTTTGTTTTGAAGGGATTATTACCCCGGAAAAGCGATCTGCTAATCCGACTGACAAGCGGGTTTCTACTTACTAACGGAAGCGCAAACAGAACGAACCCCATCGAATAAACACTTAAAACAAACCGATTCAGTGAAAACTGTAAACATTTATTAATTTTATTGTTTCATTGTTTCACTTGTTACATGATTTGAAATTTCTAATACAATTTTACGAACCATCATCTAAAAAAAAGCACAGGACACATGAATATACCGTATAAGTATTAAATACAATTTTTTTTTAAATATTTTTTTTCTTTCCTCCTAAAAAAATGCAAACTGCTAAAACGGAACAGCGGTCCGAACAGCTACAAATGTTAAGGTCAGAGAAGAAGGTACAAAAAGTTTCGACACCTGCCACAGGCCAGTTGGTAAGGTAGGTCAGAATGAAGGTTCCTGTTAACTTTAATCAAACAAATTTATCTACAAAAAAAAAGACAGGATTTAGGACACAATAGAATAATCAATTCATACATGTTGAATTAACAAATACTTTTTTTTTTGAAACTTTTTTTTTTTAAAAATGCTCGCGTTCAAAGCGTATCGATTAAATGTGTGGATGTCTACGGTCTTCTAAAGAAATGGCATGTGGGTTTCCAGGGAAATTAATGCAAATGTCAAGCAAAATACAACAGAATTTACACAGCAATACACTATATAACATATTTAACTATTACAAAAAACAATCCTTGTCCTCAATCTCACACACTCACTCTAAATGATATACCAGGAGCTCCTATGTACCATGCAGAACCCAACTTTCCCTCGTGGTGGGGCAAGTGCAATTTGCAAAAAGGGGGCAAAGTAGCAGAACTCCCAATTAATGGGCAGGTGGGGGGGGGGGATCAATGGTATTGTGTCATGCCAGTGTCGGAGATTAACATGTCGACGGGAGTGGTACCCTGCCTCAACAGCCATTTTGGACTTTGTCTTGTGAGAGATTTGTAGTTTGTACTTTGCACTCGAAGGTAAAAGGGGGTTCTGTGCAGGACTAGGACGGAACCCAAAACAGGATTTCTCATCTGGTTTAAATCAAGCCTTCAGTTCCTCTCATCAAATAAAACCCCAACTCTTTTTTTTACAACTCAGCATTACCCCCACACCCCCACCACACACTTCTAAGTAAAAGGTTGACCCTCTAATGCAGACGTGAAGCAGTGATTCTCCCTGAAATGTCCCATTATCTGTTAACATAAAGAGTGGCTATAAGTGCGCGAGTGATTGGTAGATCACCAAAGGTTCGTTTCGATCATGGTCAGTGTCTACGGTTGGAAGCACGGGAATAAAACTAGGTGATTTGACTGTACTTTTTCTTTAGAGAGCTATCCGGGAAGCAGCTGATTGCCGGCAGTCCACCTGTGTTTGCGTATCCAAATCCCTCTTTGGAAAGAAAGGTTCAACTAGGGGTGAGACATCCCGAAGGTTAGCTCATTATGGTGTCAAGCAAGGCTTGTCCAGGGAGCACAGTCACATGGAGTGCCAGGTAATTGCTAAAAGAGTCGATGGTATTGACCACACCTCTCACAAAATAAAACAATAATCCTTACATTTGGTTATAGCCTCTCTCACGTCAGGAGGATGTCTCAAAGCGCTTCACAGGATACAACTGTGAAGTGTCGTGACTGTGCATTTCGTGGGTGAATGCGACAGCCAGCTTGCTCCCAGCGAGTGACCAAATTTTTCTTGGGGGGGAATTGTTGGCCAGGACAGGCGAGGCTTTAGAAAGATCAGGTGAAAGGAGAAGATAAAAAACCGATGTTTTTTGGTTGATGATTTGAAAGAAAAATCGGGAGATGGCCTTAGTGACGTCTATTATTACAGAAGAAAGGTTACATTTATACACCACCTGAAACCTAGCCTTAGGCTTCAATACAACTAACTGTGTTTGTTTCGTACAATACAAATGCTGCTTTTGTGGGTCTTTCGTTCCGCTAATCTTACCCATATTTGGACTGGCACATTCCCTCCCTCCCAAGTACCTCATGCTTTATTTTTTTGGAAGTGGAAAAACACCAGAGCAATATCTTGGGAGACTTGATGCACCCACACCACTTTGTGCCACCAACACTGAGAGGAAACTTGGGGTAGAATCTGCTGTAAATCTCCACATATCTTGCCACATGGACAGTTTGGCATCAATGCTCTACGTGCGACCGTACTTGTGACTTATCCAACCTTTGCATTTGGTTGTAGGGTGACCACCTTTTGCAGAGACCAAAAAAGAGGTTCGGGAAGTGAGGTGGAAAAGCCTTAGGATCGGTAAGGATATTAATGTATCTTTGTACCATCGGAGTTTGGTAAAATCCAAATGCCAGCAAACCCCAAGTGATATTTCTACCGAATGTCGCTCAGTAATCCCGTCAATCAGATACTTTCTGGCCATTTGTAAAATCTTCCACGAGCTGCACTGTCCGGTCAATCAATGGGTGGTCACCCTGGTTTGGTCTGTAATGTACATTTAACCCTTTGAGAACAGCTGCGGTAACCTTTCAGGAACTGTATAGTTTTGTATACGTTGAGGGGGAGAGAAAAGTGGAAGGAGAAACGGAAACCAGTTAAATGGAATCATTCTCTCTCGAAATCATGTTAAAACGTTCATAAATCAAATTAAATGAGTGCTGGGAAACCTTTGGAGTTCTCCCTTCTGAGACGTTCAACCTTCAGCTCACTGATTAGATATGCACAGAGCCATTAATAACACTCTAACCTTCCATTTAAGCATTTGAAGTGGACTATTTTTAAACGATTTAATCCCTGTTCTGTTTCTAAAACGTTAAGCTTTTAGCTTTGCAGCAATCACCCAATCACCACTGCAAAATCTTATCTTTCTTAAGTCTCGCCTATCTATCAGAATCTCATCACTGTCAACTGAAAACCCTTGTGAGCATTTCCAGTGGTCTCGGGCTAATCTATTCTTGTAGTTATAAATCTGCAGGTTTCCAAAAGGGAGTGTTGTATTGGCACTACAACGCGTTTTGACTGCTCTACGGTGCACAGAAATCGTGCAAAAACTGGTGCCGAGCTTTCCTGAACGTTCAGTGGGCAAATGCACTGCCCGGTGTTAGAAATGAGCCACGCAGACCAGGACGGGACTGAGTTTAGTCCCTTGTCTCTTTTTACCCTGGCTGATCCCAGCCAGTTCTCTTGTCGCCTGAATTGGGTTTCAGTACTTCTGTGGCAGGTAAGAAGGGAGCATCGGCCAAGGTTCCTCCAATTGATTGTTGTCCAACGATACACACACACCAAAAAATGGGTGGACCTCAGGCCAGGACGGGATCAGACTGTTCTGATGATCCGTGTGTGTGTGTTGGTTCTCTATGTGTTGCGGGCACACACTGTATGGGCCCACAAAGTGAAAATACCCATGGATTTGTACTCACTACAATTCCAGGGACTTCAGGAGAGAAGCAGAGGGAATAGAACTAGATGATCAAAGTTATTTACTCAGCACCTTGGGACGTCCTCCCGCCGTGGAAGGCGCTGTACAAATATAATTTGTTGTTGTTACTTCATGCTACTGCGACATATCAATTAATTGACCATATATTCCCAGCAAAATTTCGTTCAGTGTTATTTCTCGTTCGCTTACGTAACTGGATTCTTAACGGGCAGGGAGTTTTGGGGTTGATTTTCAGGTGGGGTTAAAGCCTCCGACAGGCTCTCTCTGCCTTCCTACGGATCTCCACACGGCAGCACTCTCTCTCTCTCTCTCTCTCTCCCCCCCCTTTTTAATCAAAAAAGTAAAACAAGTGTTCCTTTTGAAAGCGGCCAAGACAAATCGGCACTCAAAGGGTTAAACGTACAGCACTCCTGATCCCATTCGCTGACCTACACTGTATGCAAAGTTTACCCTGTTAAACACATTCTTTTTCAGAGCAAAAAAAATACTGAGCTCCTCTCCTTAATTTTTTTTTAAGTAATACAGCATATCCAGTGATTCAGACCACTAACTCTGTGCTCTGCACAAATACAATGCTACCAGTTGCAAAATAGGTTTTGTACAAAATAAAAATGCCCAGTTGGGTTACACAGCGCTATAATAAAATCTCTCTCAGAGCATCCTTTGTGCAAGTTCTGCTCCCGCATGATCGGTGTGGATAACAACAGCAATATTATCACACGTAATCTAATGAATGTAGTCTTGAAAAAAGCTGTAGGTACAATGTCGAACTGTCTTCACCACAAACAAAAGACAAACATCTGTGCAACATGTTCAGCTTTGTAAATCTATGGCAGCAGTCATTCACAAAACAGTACTGTCGCGGGGATCAGTCCTCAGATCAGGAATGGGATTGCAGTAACTCGTCACGTCAAAACTGGGTGTGTTCGGTTGGTCCAGTGCATGGTGGGAATGTCCTTCCCGATTGACAACTGCGAGGAGAGGGCGGGCNGGGGGGGACGTAAGGGGGAGAAAAAGACTCCCGCCATACAACATTGTTCAAACATAAAGCCCCTTGAACCGAATTATTAGGGACGGGATGAAGCTGGGCAATATTAAACCAGATTGGTGTCAATCAGCGTACGTTCCCTACCACCCCCTTCCACCCCACATCGTATTTGGTAATGTCACATCATTGATGGAATCATACGGGTCCCAGACACCAAATTATCTCTTGATGGCGTGCAAATCGAATTTTGAACGGGGGTGTAGGGGGGAGGGGGCGGAGTGGAGTTCAGCAAAAACAAGCCAGAAGGATCACAGTTAAAATTGGAAGACTCCTAGTCATACTGGAAAGCTTAGGAAGCGGGAGATCACCTTCAAATCAATTGAAAAATGTTCGAATGCTTGTGAATGAATGCTTGAACAAAAAACTCATATTTGTTGCTTCCTTGGTTTTGTAATTAAAACCCTGAGGGTCGCCATTGAGATCAGACTCGGATCTACAGTTAAGTACTGCTTTTTGTGAATGGGGCTTCTGGTCCTAGAAGGCTAGAGTTAATGTCAAAAGCACAATTTATTCTCTCACAGAGAGGTTACATTGAAGTCTCTATTATTATCTGAGTGGGTTTTACCACATCATTGCCTGCAGTCCCATTGGGACTGAGTGGAACAGTGGCTTCGGTGTCCTGAGCTGGGTCAATCGGTTTCCTGCTTTCGGCCTTGGGTCCAGCAAGCATCTTTATCCTCTGCAAGGGAAAGAACCACCGAATAAGGTTTAGGAAACAAGAACAATAAAAGATTGGCTTGCTCACACAGTCTTAACGAATGCACAACAAGAATAATAATAATAATCGCTGCTTTTCTCCTCTCAGTCTCCCCGTCTCCTAGAATCCATCAGTTTGGAGCCACAAACAAGATTGATTTCACCTTCTCGCCTATTTGGGGGGGGGGGGGGCTTGCTGATGTCATAGAATCATGGAATATTACAGCATAGAAGGAGGCCATTCGGCCCAGCGGGCCCGTCCTGGCTCTTTGGAAAAGCTCCCCAATCAGTCCCACTCCACCCATTCTTTTCCCATATCCTTGCAAATTTTTCCTGTACAAGTACTCATCGAGTTCCCTTCTGAAAGTTGTTATCAAATCTGTTTTCTGCGCCTTGTGGTTGGATTCCTGGTTTCCCAATGTTGAGCCAAGGTCATCGATTGCTTTTTGCTGCAAGACCAATATTCTCAGCCACACCGAATGTCCTTCTGTCTGATCTCTGGCTGCAGATCAGTGCAAACCCTTTCTGTTAATTTAGTCATCGCGGTGTGGTGATAAGCCTTTATTATTCTGTTATTATTTACTTATTACGTGGAGATTGATGGGCAGAACACCATTGCGCCTGCGCCTGACCCCTCACCCACAACAACGACAACAAATTACAGTTGTATAGCGCCCTTCATGTCAGAAAGACATTCCAGGAAGCTGTGGAGACCTTCCTGAGTGAAGTGACGGCTAAGAGTTAGGAGTTTCAGTGGTTAAACAACATAGGTTTATATAACGCCTTTCACACACTAAACAAAATATGGAAGCCAAGCTTACCTCAAAAATGGGCCCATCAGATTGAATAACCTTGATCACCCCTACCATCGGGATACATAACATGGAGGTCAGGGCCAATACCCACCCCACACCCTGTGCCCAGTCAGGGTATCTGTACGTTTTATTGTACGTCAGAGGTGTATACTTGGCAAGGGAGAAGATAAAACAGCTCTGCGGAAGAAAATGTATCGTTAGCAATACTGCTATTAATCCTTACATTTGGTGCAAACAACAACAAAAACTTGCATTTATTTAGCCCCCCCCCCCGAGCCCTTGACAGTGGCGGAGCATGACCCCGAGCCAGGGGGAATGGTGACCGTAGGCGCGGTCCAATAGGAAGGTCTTCAGGAGCGACCTGAAGATGGGGAAGAAAGGGGCGAGGCGGAGGGACAGAGGAAGAGCGCTTCCAGAGTTTCCGTGTCCTCCCGACACGTTTAGTGCCTTAGTTGTCGGGAGGACATCTCAAAGCACCTCACGGGACATACGCTGCAGAGTGGAGTGACGTCGTGTGCGGGCTGCGAAATTAAACACCGTAGGTTTCCTGCTACGTACAACTCAACGCCTCGTTCCACAGCCAAGTCACCCACAAAGTCCACCAGTCTCGCTTTAATAGTTACTCCGCTGTAAGAAACTATCCCATTTGTGTCGCTCACCATACACAGCAGTGGAGTGGACACACTCCAGCTCCACTTCATCCAAGGTCCTGGCCTGTAGCCAATCATGTCTTCAACTGCATCGTAGAAATTATCAGCACCTGTTGGGAGGCACAAATGCTTCACATTAATCCCTCGAAACAAAACACACACACACGCTGAGCACTTCAGATGGACTCAGTGTAGGTTTACTGTCTCAAATGGTACCCGATACTGTTGGGGATTGAATTCCCTTCAAACAGTTGGATCAAAGCACTTTAACAGGAGAGCTGACGGTGTATTATTCACAGCTTAGTGATACCTCTTTTTGGTAGCTAGGTTTTTGTTTGAGATGTCTTTAATAAAATAAGTCACATGGAAGGGGGGGGGGCAGGGGGCGCGTTGGGTGGGAGAGACGGGGAGAGAGTCTGTGGTGAGTTGAGGTGTTAGAGAGTGAGAGTTAGAGAGCCACTTTCCTTCCCCCTTTAATTAAGCAACTTTATGTAAAGCAATATCTTTCCGATACACTGCAGGACTGATTCCCATCAGTAGATGTCGCTCAACAGTTGAATCATTGTGAACAAAACCCCCTCATGAAGTAACCGCGTACAAATAAATGAATTACATTTTCCTTTATTTCCGTCCAATTTCTTTTAGTTTTTTTTTCCCCTCCGCCTCTGTTTCGGCCATTTATTCTGTGGCGTACATGGTCACGTGACGCGATTAAGATTTTTATGGTCGTGTCGGGGTTTACATAATATGATGTAATCATTAGCCAATTGTACCACAGAGAGAAAGAAATGATAATAAATCAGGCTGGCTCTTGTCCCACTTGGGCTCCGTTGCCTTTTAAAGCTTCACTCACTGCCGAGAAGACTTAGTTTCATCTGCACCGCCCACCACAACCCATTCCTCGCCAGGATCGAGGTCAAGGTCTTCACATCACTTACAAGTGGCTTCATGTCCTAACCTTTCCCTCACTCTCTGACCTGCTTGGACCTCCTGCCCGACCCCTTTGCTCGGCTAACACTCAGCTGCGCATTATTCCCTCCCCACCAACCCCTCACTCCGACCCCGATCCCTCCAAGCCACCCCCTAAATCGCCTGCTTCGTCTCAGTGACCTGGGAAGGGGAGAGAACCCAAGAAAAAAAAAAGGATCACCAGGAAAAATACGGTCCTCGGGTGAACCGAGCAAAGTTGCGGCCGGGTTGTGGGTCTCAGCGACACAGACAGAAAGCGTTAGTCACGTGCCTCCTCCCATTCACGCCATCGAGAGAAAAAACAAATCAAGAAATAGGACTTACCATATACCCAAGCTATTGCGATACATTCAAAGAATGCCACCCACAGAAGGCACATACCACTGGCTGCATAGTAGTCAAACAGCTGGAACACATACATCCCACCCTGGAAACAAAGACAAGTGTAAGCAGTCTGTTCCATTACTCACTTGCCAGACTCTGTGTCGCTTGGCCAATTCACAACACTGAATATTAATAGGAGGCGCAGGACCCTGTTCGACCCCATGGTGCTGGCTAAAGCGGACAGCCACACACAACTAACAAATTTACACCGTCTTCTACCCCTGCCACTTATAACGTCTCGTTGGGAGTTTAATTTCTACATTCGAGGTTTATCAGCGCTGCGAATGGAATCATTTCCACTTTCCGAGCATCATCCCTGAACAAGCCAAGTACAGGTTACTCGCAGATGCTTTAAGAGGTGTTCAGATGTGATGCTTCCTCCCTTCTATTTGAACAATATGTTAAAGCCCAATCTCAGCAGTTTTCTCCAATAGATCACAGTTGTCTTATTGACCATTTCTGGGCCTAAATTAGCGCACATAGTAATATTTTGGCATACAATTAAGAACCATTAAAGTCTTTTTATTTACCTACCGAAAGAAAAACCCGACTATCTTTCAGACGGACGGACGGGGGGGGGGGGGGGCAGAATTTATTTTTGGGTCAAAAAATAGGACAGCATTGGGGGCTGGGGGAGGGAAATTGATACTAAAACAACTAATTAATTTGGTGAAAATTTACAATGTCAAAACAAGCCAAATACTGACTATTTAATGGCCGTCACGTCACACACAATGATGAATTTACTGCATTGAAACTCATCACAAAGAGAAATCTATTTCCCGCTTTGCTCGGGGTTGACTCTTCTGCTGAGTGGCAGCTCTGTTTTGCTCTCTCTCTCTCTCTCTGTGTTGAAAGGCACATCTCATTATAAATAAAAGATGGGCTCAAACGCAAGTCAGCCTTCACGTCTGATGTTGCAACTAGGCAGGTTCTCAACTGGCTGATGAATTATGCAAGCATGAAATGGGGGTGGGCAGACACTGAGCTCAGGTTTCTCAGTGTAGCTGGTAAACAAATACCCTGTCGTTCACGACTGGAAAATTCTACCCCCTAACTGGTCGGTGTGGATTACACTCCAGTATTATCTTGGCTGAAAAACGTGGCAATTTGCCAGCTTTAAATGTAACCTTAGCACTTCTCCCTTCGCCCCCGATCCTCCTTGTCCGCCCGTCTTGTTGCTTGTTTTAACGCACCATCCGTGACTCGATCTGTCCTCTCTGATACCTCAGCCATATTTTAGGATCATTTCCTTTTTTTTTGTCCCGCGAATGTTTTTTCCCCCCCTCTCCAGCACTCCCGTTACCACCAGAGCGGGTTTACGAGGGAGGCAGTAGCTGTCGGTATCTCATCCAGGTGGGGATTCGAGTCTGACTCACGAGATAATAAGCAATTGGTGTTGCTACTGTGGCGCAGAGAAGCCTGAGCATCCCTCCCACCATGAGTTACGGAATAACAATGAACCCAATTGTATTCTTCTGATCCTAGAACTCACAAACAGTTCTAAATTCATGCAGATAATAGAGGAAATCCAAAAGAAGGTATAGGAAAACATCAATGTACTTTTTAGTAAAACAGGGTATTGTGAGTTACTTACTTGAGTTACCATAGTCAGCCCCAGCAGATAGCTGCACAGGCACACTATAGCTATGAAGATTTCCCGTCTGTAACCCTTCCTTAGGAAGGATGGGTAGAGGTCAACTAGCGACGTGATCTGGCCCTCAACTTCGACAAACTGCAGGAAACAAGTCAAAGGGGAGAGGTTCAGGGGACATCAATCCATCATCGTATCACGTGGGCTACAGTCAGAGAACCATTTATTTCGGGGTTCCCAGTGCCATTGAGTTTCTGCTACACTCTGTCTGGTCCTGTTGCTGAATGTATAAATGGTTGCGGGAGCTATCTACTGTCCCAAATCAGGACAGGCTAAGTGACAGAAGAACACAGCCATCTTTGATCAACCAGAATTCCTAACCTAAGAAGATTTAGTTAACGAGATTCTCAGGAGATATTGCCAATTTAGGTGCATCTCTTTCTAACTTGTACAGACTTGGTCTCCTCTCCTGGGGGTAAGGAGGTGGGGGCAAGGCAGCTATGTCTATGTGCAAATCCCAAAGGAAATCAATATCTGAGCCAAGAAAATGGGAAAGAGCACAGGCAGTTTTTCCCTGTGGAGATGCTCTCTCCGAATTCAATGCTGACGACAGCTCCCACTGTCCCCCTCCCCTCCTCTCCCCTCCCTCAGCCTCAAATGCCAAATTCTGGCGTTGGGAGGGAAAGCAAAGCGGAATTTTCACTGTCTTTGTTTTGGTCTCCGCAGGAAGGGAAATTCCACAGGTCAACAACATATTTGCCCTCAGTGCTGTGCACAACTCCAATCGATTGCGGGTAACTGTAACTTTTCCGACCTGCGGAATGTTATCTGCTGGAGAGGGGGAAACACTTGCTTCCCCCCACATGCTGATATTCCCCCGTTAAACAAGTCCAACGGGTTTTTAATGAAAAGGCTTTGTCTTTTAGTGATCCATTCTGGTACCAACAGCTGGTTTTCCACCTATCACAATTTGAAACGTAATCTGTGAAAAGGGAATTTGTTACTTACTTCCTTTCCCTCATCTTTATCAGGTTTAAGTCTATCACACTGCTATTTTCGGGATACTCATTGAGTGATAAGGAACAGATTAAATCTGTCCCGTGGACCTTCTTGTAACAGTGGTTCCCTAAAATAACCCGCAATAAAACATTCAGTTGTTTATGATAATCAGATATAACTGTGTTTTTCCCCGCAGCTGTTTATCTTTTCTATTTGAGGAGAAATTCCCAGGGATCTATATACTGTGCTTTATATCTGGAGCTTTATGTTTGTCTCGTCTCTGCCTCTCCTGTCACTACACTACAGTTTCCTCTCCAGTTCCACACCTTCCCCACTGACCTCCCGAACCCTGGCCCATATGTGATCTTATTCAAACCATGTGAGGAGGAGGAAGAGGAGGGGTTGGGGGGGGCGTTGGGGGAAGATATGCTCAGATTCTTACACGTTCACTAGATTGTTACTAGGAGTGGGAATCCAGGCTGTTCTGCTCCTTGTCTAATCGAGGGGATGCCTGGGCCAAGTGTAATTAACACCATTCTATCTGAGATCAGTTTGGCGTAGACTGAGGACAAAGCTGGGATTTCCTGGTCCGTATGCAAAATACATCAATGCGACACAGTGCATTTATTACCCGAACCACCAGGGGTAGAAACAGCAAAATGTCTGCACTCTGATGATTCCTCACATGCAAATATAATTTCCTGAATTAATCACCACCGAAGCTGACCTTCACTCTCTTCAACCACCTCGAAGTTAGAAATAGCTCCGGGTAAAAGATCGTTTTGATGTCACCCCGGCTCATTCAGTAGCATGATCGCCTCCGAGGCAAAAAAGATTACGGGTTCGAGCCCCACGTCAGGGCTTGGGGGCTCAACAGTCTAAGCTGACCCTCCATTGCGGTGCTGAGGGAGCACTGCGTTCATTGTTGAAGGTCCTGTCGTTTGGATGTGACATTAGCCTGAGGTGCCGCCTGTCTGTTTAGATGGATGTGAAAAATGACCCTAACTGAGATGGACAATTTTCCTTGTGGCCCAACCAATAATCCTCGGATATCCCAAAAAAATGATCAATCACTGCCTGTCCAGTGGGACCTTTTCTTGTCATTTCAAGTCAGCTGCCGCATTTGCCCATACATAAGCTGAACTAAAATGCAAGAACGATCATTTTTCGCTGGCAAACGGGTTTAAAAGCTTGGGAATGTGAATATTTTGGTTTGTTTTTCAACACTGTTTAGCAAAAGTCATGTTCCGGAACTCGGTCACGCATGGTAGTGTGGAAGATTTCAGCATAAGGGCGAATTTTGTCCTCTGTTCAGGCAACAGGGGAGAAAGCAGCCAGATAAGATCAGTTTGTCATCAGCTCAAGTAAATTAGCTCTCATTAACGCTTTGGTTAAGCTTCTGTTGACTTGGGGTGTAACTGCTAGCAGATGTTTAATTTCTAATTTATACCTCTCCTTTTTTTTTGAGGGAGAAAGAAAGCATCAAGCTGATATCGTGGCTGTCAAAATGTTCGATGCCAAATGGTTATCTATCTGAAAGACGAGTCCCATTAGCGAACTGCTCGTCCAGTTAAAATTACAAGTCAGAAACCATTAATCGTGCCGGATCGTTAGCAAAACGACTCGTATCATTTTCTCTCGCTTGCTCAAAAGCTACCAGGAATGGGTGCTTAAGTTTCTCTGTACTGGTGTAACAATTTTTGCCGATTGCACAAGTAAGATAGTATCTGAGCAATATAGTCGCAAAATGTGTGCAAAATGTGAAAAAACCTGAACAAACAGGAAGTGCACAGTGGGTGGGGGGAGGGAGTAGCATATAAACCTTAAGAACTGCCGATCTCTTGCAAACAAGATGAGAGAAAGGAAGCAAGTGTTTCTATTGCAGTCGAAAGTTGCAGAGGATTGCCTGAGTTTTACTGAAAGGTCTAAGTCTTCTTAACACACCCGCAAGGAACAATTTGGAATTAATATTCTGAGGGTATTTTAGGATGAAGGTATATTAGTTGTAAATGAATGCTGTTCTCATCGCAGCGAGGGATCTCTAACATTGACTTGCTGAACAGAACACTTTTCCCTATGAATTTACAGAGTCATGATCTCAAGTACTCCTAAATTTCGGTACTGCAGGAGTTAAATGCAGAATAAAGCTGTTTTTATCCTGCCCCCAACCACGTGCGTTAACCTCAGACCGACATCCGTTTTACGCCAGAGTGTGATATTTTCCATTTCCCACACCAGCTTCCTCAAGATATCTACAGAAGATCACGATTCGGTGTCAAAACAGCGGCAGATATGTAGTTTGTGCCTGAACTGCTTGGGAACTGGATTGAAATTAACCCGATATTGAAGGGATGTTCAGAATAGTAAATAATCACTGGGTCCTTTGGAGAATTCTCGACCTGCCATCTCCCTGTGTCCTTCCGATTTTTTTTTTTGCAGAAGTGCACTTAGGTTTGCTCTTAAACCGGTTTATACTATCTGCTTCGGTTAGCCTCCCTGAGCCACTGGTTATTAAAGAATTAAATATTCTAGATATTAAAGAAGGGGCAAAAATTCCAGTGAATATCCTACACCCCTTGCATTGGAGCGTGTAACTATATTGGGAAGTTCCAAAAGTCAAAGGAGAAGTACTTAACCAGAGTTTCTAGGTTGGTTTGCCCCTAAAGGAGAGGAGACTCAAATCTAATCAGACTGGCAGAAACGTTCAGGCCTAACATCAAACCCCCCCCTAGGTGAATTCCTGATGTATTAATGTATCGCAATCGCAATGGCTCTCCCCCACGACTCCACCCCACCTGCAATAGAATTACGTAACACATTTGACATTTAAAAAAATCAGTTTTGCTTTGAAATTTTCAAGAATCAATTCGAAAACAAGCTTTTAAGAACCCAGCCTACTGTTAAGTCCAACCCTCTATTAATTTGCAATCGCTCGCTTTTAATATAAGCCGCACCTTAAGTCAATATTATCACAAGTTCTGGCTGTGTGCTGCTTCTGACACCTGTTTCATTAATCTTTAGTTGGATAAGGGTAGGCATTGCCATTGGCCAATGCCTTACTGTAAGTAAATACTGAAGTGAATGGAATTTGTAACTTTCCATCTAACTGCTATGGAGACACATCCCAACCAGATTTTGCACAGTTTACTACAGTGAAAACTAAGCCACACATTCCTGGTTTGTGTATCTATTCCTGTACTGGAGGCTTCATCTGGTCAATGCAAAGTTCAGCTCCTGGCACACCAACCTCACTCACTGCCTGGCACTGAGAGCACTGGCAAAGTGTATGTCATCCCCAGGTTGGCAAGAACCACAGAAATGCCATGCCTTTCATTCAGAACACACTTTATCAAGGCATAACCGTCCCTCCCTCTCTCGCCCAACCCCAACCCAAAGCATCATTCCCAGCCCACAACCCACAAATCGCAACAGACAAAGAATCTCAAAACACTTACCTGCGTGAAGAAAACTAAACAGGATATGGTGTAAAATAATTAACTTGGATGCCATTTTAGCTCCCTCCCATTACTGCGCTGCACCCTCTAGTACAAAGCTTTCAGATATTACAGGGTAAAGATTTGCAAAACAGAACTAGGATCGGTAATTGCTAACATGATGGCAGTTTGGAGGGTGGGGAAACTCTCCTAATAGATCTCTAACCCCCTTTCATTCTTGGTCTTGTCCCCCTTTTGCGGCAGAAAAGGATGGAGGCTAGACTGGCTGACTCTCATGCTTCTAGGCAACGAGAGGTGAGAAAGACCAAGCTCTCTCATGATCCTCCTGGTTCTGCCGCTTACCCTGGTAGGTCTCCGCTCAATGAGGCACCTGCAGTGGTGTGGACAGATGCAGAGCATGTGAGACCAAAGGATTGAACCTGCATCCCACCAACCTCTGGGACCACCCCTATCAGCCTGCTGGCGTACAGTTTTGTAAAATTTAGCACCTCAGAAAACCTTATTATTTCCCTGAAATACTTTAAATAAAGGGGGGGGGGGGGGTTACAAAATATCATATCTGCATGCGTTTTGAGCCAAAGTCCCTATTTTCTAGTCGAACAACTTCATAATGATTTTAAAATAAACTACACGGCGTAAGGCAAAGAGTCAAAAGGAGCGTGGCTCAGTTCATGGGCTTTATTTCCACTTGAAAGACCTACGTCGCTGCCATTTGTGGTACAAACCATCTTCTCGTTTGTAGTGACATTTAATATTAAAAAAAAGTTACACAATTTATCCTCATTACGCAAATTGGTTCCATTGTCATTCCCTGGTCCAGGGTGACTGGGGAGCGCTGAAAATTGGACTGAGCGCTTGCCATGTGGAACTCTTCCAAGCGTTGCACTGTAAACTGATGGTACAAGCTACCCACCCACAGAGGGACGCACTCACACAGCATATACACACACACACCTGTGCTTTCGCACGGACATACACGACTATGCACACAGAAATGTCTCCACATGTTCACAGACACACAAATGTGTACATAGATGCACGTAGACACGCGCGTGCAACAAGTGTGTCTGTGTGTGTGTGTATATGCACACAGGCGCGCGCATTCATTCCGCTACTCAAATCTTTCCTCTCGGGTCACGGAAATTACTGCAAATCAAAAAAATAATTACCGTTTGAAGCAAAGTGTTGGCAGGCGTCACCGATGGGATTCTGAGACTTCAGGGAATCCTGTTACAACACGGTGACCTGGTTCCACTATGTCGGAGTGCGGAAAATGGCCAACTTCCGGGTCCGCAGATCCACAGTGACATCACTTTCTGCACTCCTGCGCCCGTGTGCTGCTGACAACACCTCCTGCCCTACCGCATGCCCGTGCTACGCGCAGGAAGAGTGCCAACATCACTTCCTTCGCAACAGGACACCAGCTGGCGCTTGCTGCACGGAGTGTGCGCGGGCAACACGCAGGAAGTGGTGTCAATGGCAACATGATGACCCAGACGCCGGCCATTTTGCGGAGATGGCTAGTTGGCTAGTGAGCGCCAGAGGCCGGGTGTTGTACTCCCGGTATAGGTGCAGGTCCACAGCAAGACCCAGAACCCTAAGCGAACCCACACTGAACCCATTGAAATAGCGCGTCTCCACCCGAACAGCGTGGCCAGTTAAAAACATAAACGTGGGCGGAGTGAAACATTGCGGGTCAGGACTCCAGACCAGAACAAAACAGAGGCTGGCGTCAAAATGGTGCAGTGGAGAGATACATCCCTAATGGTGGAATTAGACGACGCTGAAAACACGAAGGGATTGACTGAACAGCTCTTTGCTTTGACTCACCCTCTCCCCCTCCCACCCCCATCCACTCCACCACCTCTTTACCCAACAGTAAGGAACTCTGGTATTATCTGGGTTCAGACCCGTGGCATTATTTCCGACTAACCTGGCTGTCCAAGCCGAGAAGGAGAAGCATGACGAAGAACAAGACAGCCCAGAATACAGGCCATGGCATCATGCTCACAGCTTTAGGGTAAGCGATAAATGCCAAGCCGGGACCTAGAAGGAGGAAAATGCAGAGACGGGGGAAGGGGATTGGGAATAAGATGTACTAAGTGACATGCATTCCATGTTTGAAAACATAAGTACTTATCACAAGTATTCACTCTAAAAGCTCTCTAGCACAGCAGAAACTGATTAAGTAAAGATAGCATGCCTGCCTTTCTACGACAAAAAACAAAATAAAAGAACGTTGCACCATTAATAACATCTAACCAATTTATTAGTGACATAAAGGAACATTGCACATTTACAAATAATAAAGTATTTATTTTCCCAAGAAAAAAAATCCTCCACCTCCCCTCCCCGCCCCCACTTGGATTTAGATATTTTTTTTCTCTCGGATATTTTTTTGAGCAGCCAAAAAAAAAAAAATGCTTAAAAAAAAAAAAATCGGTAAAATGTAAGGCTGCCTCGCAATGTGATTGAAAGTTGAGACGTCTGAGAAAGCGATTAAAATTCCAGTGCGGGGGGTGGGGTGGGGGGGTGCACCAAGCAGATTAAGTGATGTGAAAGGGGCCACTTGTTGTTTGGCAGTTTGGTACTTCTATCGGATTAAAGACTTAAAGGAGAATTGAAAGCACAGCTGGTTTGAAAGAGCAAATAAACGCATATATGCCGGTTTTAAATCATTTTTTGAAAAAAATAACAAAATTACGAACCTCGTATATTGAAAGAGATTCGGGTTGATATCGTGGAGAGCGGTGATAGATTGTGTAAAAGTGTGGCTTTTGTATAAACAAAAGGGAGACCGGAAAAAAACAAAACTTTAGGTCAATCTGACTCGACCCAAGCAAAGTAAGGGGGAAAAAAAAATGGCTTTCTTTTAGATCTAATAATCTGTTGCATAGAAATGTGGGCGAAACCTGAAAAACCGGAGAGTTAAGATGCCTGCCTCACATTATTGTGAGTGTGACTTGGGAGTTGGTTAAAAGATTCCACTGCAAGCGAGTTTTACTCCCGTGATGAACCCTCCAGCCAGGGCAACGTCTCACTTGAGGTCGCAACGAAAGAGAAAGAGAAAGGCAGCGTCTGTCTTGCCTTTCGCGATTTGAAAGGTTAGATTGGCACTCGTGGGGTTGATGCTCAAAGGTAATTTTATTACCTGAAAAAAATGGTTTTGGGGGAATGCATGGAGATGACAAAGAGATACAAAAAGAGGATTGAGCGTGTAGAGAATGTGTAACAGAAAGCGGGGAAGGATTATATCTTGAATTGATGTACAGGAGCTCAAGTGCTCTGCTTTGACTATGTTGATGGCGCAATTGTTTATTTAAAAAAAAAGAGAGGAAACTTATTTCACTGAATACACGTATTTGTAATCTCTCTCTCAGTTAATTCCCTTTTTTTTTTGCTCGGCAAACAGGCACCCAGTTTCAAAACAGTTCGGGTATGTTTATGGGATTGGATTTTTGAATTAAAAAAAATTAAAATCGGCAGCAAAAATCTTTCTTATTTTTGACATACAAAAACAAAATCGAAGGCCATTTTACCCTCTTTCTTGTGCATTGGGGAGGTATGAAATATTTAAGGTTTTAACAATTACGGTTTCAAGCCACAGAACTCCGGCTACCGAAATGCAGTTAAAGAAAACATGTCAGAACTCATCACTGCCCCCAACCCGTCTGCTGAGCAAAAAGGTGACCTGGTTCCTGCTGTTTTCTAGCTGCTCGAGGAAGCCATTTCCTATTCTCCCTGATGCGACATTGAGATATCCCGCTCCTACCGCATCGCAAACAGGGGGAAATGAGTGAGAAAAAGGGGTTCTCTCAGAGTGCCTCAGTGAAAGGCAAGCACGGCAACACGGCTGATTGAGAGACATTTTTTTTTGCAAGGGCTCTTTTTACCATATTTGGGACTACGTTGGAATTTTTAAAAAAATATAGATATACATGTATGAAATGACACTTTACAAATGTAGTGCAAGTTGTACACTTGTAAGGCAACGAGTCACAATGGTGTTACTTTGCGGGCTGGCAGAGCGCACTCGTTGACAGAGATTGGCTTTAAGGGTCATCTCTGGCTCCCTGACTTTATCTTCAGTGCTTTGCTGCGCTATTGCAGATGTTGGCCTTTTAACGGGAATTTCTTTCACGAGTTGGGACAGCTACCTGCAGCCAACCTAACCTGCGGTCGAGGTACATCGACTGAGTCTCGGGCAAGTGAACTGCCGGTTTAGCCAAAACAAGTGCTCTTTTTGTACGAGGCACTGGCTTACATGCAAATCATTACCATTTAAATTTGCTAGCTGGCAGGAAACACCTGGATTTTTGGGGACTTGTTTTCTCCTTTAATTTTGCATCTCTGCAAGCTTCCAATGCCATGAGTCACGTATCGTGTGTCAGGCCAATGAATGGGATTCATCCACGATAATGGAAGCCAGCCTGTCCCAGGTGGCAGAGCTGGAAACGCTGTGTATTGTATCCAGCTGTGTTTATATTAAGTGGAAAGTGGCTGAAATGGAAGGTAAATCTCCCACCGTCTTTTCCTTTTGAGAGTGCATTTGGGGCAGGACTAGTTACTTTAAGTACCTCCTTCATTTGGGCTTTCTTTCTTCATTAAATTCACTTAATCCAAGCTCATCTTGTGGCTCGGTGGGTTAATGCTTTATGTGGTACGATATTGAGCCATACAGACTTGGAAGAATCCAGATGGATCTCTGGCCTGTTACCTTTTCTCAGCCAAGATGCAATGGCATCATTCCTAGTCTTAATGCCCCCGGGTTAAGAAAGAGAAAAAAATCTAGTGTTCCCCCTCCCTGATCCCTTATCAAGTAGTCTCTGCTGTATGTACATGTGAGACCATGATCAGATTCAGCTACAATACCTTAGTTGCATGTTTTGCTGACACTCATTGACTGGATTCATTACAACAGTTGGGTAGCCAAGGCACAAGGACGGTGCTGGCACCTCTGCAACAAAACCACAATGAGGGGAGAAAGGAAGAGAAACTTAGAGAAAAATTACCTCACTGTGTTTTTCTGTCGGGATTTGTAATGGGCTTTGTATCAGAACTCTTCACTACAAAGTTCCAAATCTGAGGTGTTTAATGTCTGGTGTAGGGAATACGGAAACTGGACAATTCCCTTATCCGAGGGAGGAAGAATTGGAAGAAGGATTCCATGGAAAGACAGTTGTTAGAGGAGAGGAGAGGGGAGGAGGAAGATTTCATAGTCCTAAAAAAAAATCTGGTTCCATAGATCCACCAAGTAAGGTGCTGGAACTGTGTTCCCACCCGCTCAGCTGAATCCAATGTATGGGAAGTCTCAACTGGCGATCAGAAGAGAGAGAGAGAGAGAGAGCCTTGTTGGAAAAGAACAGGCAGATAAGGTTAGTACTTCGAGGTACTGTATGTAATCTTAAAAATGCACGGAAATGCATGCTTTACTACCAAACTGACAAAAGGTGGAGACCGACCGGTGTCAAAATGGGGGTGAATTTTGTCTGCGTGGAATTGACATGTGGAGGCGAAATCAGCGGAAACAAATCAACTCGTGTGATCGGAAGATGAAGTCAAGCTGATTTTGCGCAGAGCAGGCTGTGCTTTTTCACACGCAAAATCTCTTAAAAAGTATTGAAATGCAGAACTGTGAGTTACACAAACACATTGATTCAGTGGAGTGCAGCCCACAGCGTGTAAAATCACTACGACAGGATTAGCAATAAGGTGTCGCGACTCACGGTAAAAGCAGTGCCAATGAGACAGCACGACAGTTAATCAGAGGCGCGACTATTTCAGCCCCAGGGCCGAAACGTGTCCTCGGAAGGCTCACTGCCAAATGAAAATCAATTCTCCGAAAAAAAAAAAAAAAATGAAATGTTACAAATTGGGAGCTCTTTCACAATTTTAACGTTCTATTTTACAAAGCGAGTCGGAAGTTCGGAGAAAAATATAAAGAGAGAAGAAAAAAATATTACTGCGAAGGTTAATGTATTCAGCTGATTCACTTGCAAGTCTAACACTGCCAAGTGAGTCACGTTGATGAGAAACCATTAATCATTATTATTATTAAATGCTGCAATGCCCCTATTGACTATGACACAAACGCTTTGTATCTACAACTTAACCTTATCGCAGGCAGGCTAGTCACTCAAGCCCTGGGGCCTTGGCTCACAACCAATAAAAGTTGGAAGCCCACGATCTCCACCAGGCTCATTGGGAACTCAATCTCTCTCTCAACTCATAAGCACATACACGTTTGAAGGTTCTCAATCGGATCGTTGGATGAAACACTGCTCTGAGGTGAAGTGTTTCACCCTCGGATGACAGGAGAGAATCCCAGAAACAAACATTTGGCGTGAGCCCACTTGTATCACTTGTGCTTTCTGGGCAGACTGACAAGGAAGTGCTTTTAGTGACAAACCGTAACAGACGCCCTCAGCGACTACCTCAGCCGGTCTCCAGACTGAGGGAGATTTCAGAGGGCGGCGAGGAGAGGAAAATGCACAAATAGATGTAAAAATAAACATGGGGGGGTGGGTGGGGTGGGAGTAGGGGCAAAGGAATTTATTTTAGGGCTTTCTTCTGTTTCTATCTTGGGTGAATTTTTTCACTAGCCAAAGAGGGAGATGTCTGCGCTTGGGATGGAACAACATCCTAAAAGCATCAAGCTTTCCCAGGCAAGGTATAGCACGGACGAGATGCAGCACAAAGCTCCCTCGACACTGCCTCAACGAGCACCCCCGGATCAGGCATAGTACAGGTTAAGACACAGAATAACGCTCTCTCTACGCTGCATTATCAAGAGCCTTTAGGTCGAGTGCCAGCACGGGTTAAGTGCAGAGCAGAGCTCCCTTCACACTGCTCCGACCTGTGCTTTCATCTTGGCCTCGATGACCTACTACCGCAGCCGGTTCCCACACTAGCCGCCCTTACACAAGACTGCCAATTTGTGTTGCTGTGGGCAGCTTCCTGCTGAGGGCTCAGGCGCACTAAAAACAAGCTTTGACAATCCGTGTGACATAGGGCTAAGGGTTGAATGCATCTTCGCCCATCAGAACGGGCTGGATTTCAATCGATGTTGCAGAAATGAAAGGACAGTGGTCCCGTCTACTCACAGAGATGGTTTTCTCGCAGTATTTACAGAGGGTTTTCCCAATGCAACAATTTTAGGACCACAAATAAAGAGGTACCAAACAAAAGGAAACCGAGACCTCACAATCCTTCGACTGACGCCCGAGTGACTGTCTTTGGTCGTGAGGGGAAATGCCTTGGCTAGAACTGAGAGCACTTCATAAGTGTCAGGGAACTGGGGGTGAAACCCAGAATAGCCACAGACAGCACTGGAGGGCTGTACACAGAAAATGCACACATGCACACGCACACGCACACACACACAGAAACAGTCAGCTTAGTGTGAGGAATTGCTCTTTTTTATATTTAAAAAAAATTAAGGAATCAAGACTTTCCACATGTCGGAGTGAAATGATTTGATTCAGTGTATAATTGGATTCATCAGAAGCTTCTGTGCCATCATTTACATGCTAATATAGAAAGAATGATCTTGAAATAAAAATTTATGCATAAATCTGATTCGTTTTTTTTTTAACCCTTCTAATTTCCCTTCCCCTTTGCTCCCTCCACTTAAGGCAGTGTCTCTTGCTGGTGGATTGTCCCATGGGGTATTGGGTGGACCTTAAAGACCTTGCCCAATGGCTCTATGTGCAAGTGAGTGCCAACAGTTCTCACCCATTGCCACCGCACATGCACATTCCAGTCCTTAGCCCGGTTGGGGATGCTGAGATCAATTGTAGCGCCTTTCTGGGATCCTGGCTATGCTCAGCCAAACCAACACCGAGCGGGTATCAAACCTTCCTGGTCTGTGTGGCTCGGAGCACTGTCTACGCAGTAGCTTTGCCGGGGTTAGGGGCAGAATGAGGAGTCTTTCGAGCTAGCTTTCTATAACGTCACCATGTTATTACTTCTACCATCTGTCGAGCTCACTTTTATTGTTCTGCCTCTACAGTTATCTAGGGAAGAGCATTCCGCATCTTCACCACTCTCTGTGCGACACTTCAATAGATTAATACCTGGGCTGGAGGGGCTGAGTTGTAATGAGAGCCTGGGTAGGCTGGGGTTATATTGCTTAGATCAGAAGGGGGTAGGAGGTGATTTGATCGAGGTATTTAAGGTAATGAAACAAATTGACAGGCTAGACAATGGATGATTTTTTTCATTGGGGTGGAGGGATCCATTGCAAGGGTTGCCTGGCCTTAAAATCAGAACTAAGATGGTTAGAACTAAGGTCAGGAAGCATTCAAACAGGGCTGCAAAAACATGCAACCCTTTGGCCCAGAAAAGCTGTAGAGGCAGAATCAATGGGGCGTTTAAAAGAGATAGACTGATACTTGGACGGTAGACGTATAAAGGGGGATGGGAAAGGGGCAGGGCAAGTTCTACTAAACAGGCTTGATGGGCTGAATGGCCTCTTCCTGTTTTCCTACATTCCTTTGTGTAGTGTGGTTGGCGGATGATAAAGAGTGCCAGAAATGCCAACAATTGTGGGACGGTTACATCTGGATAAAGTAAAACCTGCTTCTGCCAGTGTTTGTCACCAAATTTAAAAGAAGAGAGGGTGGGGGGGAAACTAATACTTGAAAATGCCCGAAGCTTTTATAAACCTTCTGGAAAACACGCTAAACAAACAAACAAAAAAAAAACTCTGGGAACTATTCTGCCAGACGCCACAAGGCTAAATAGGCTTTCGAGCTCTTCATAAGGCTACACGACCAACGTTTTAATCAATGCATTTTTAAGCTTAATCACTATACACAATGACAAACGGCACCTCTACCAGGTGGAATCAATTGTTAAAAATAATAAAGTTTGGATTTAGACAACAAAATAAAAAAATGCATGCTGTGAATATATTGTTCCGCTACTTTTTTCATTAATTTAGCAGTTTAATAGGTGGTAGCGGCTGGCGCCATCATACCTGACTCAGCTACATCAGCTATGTCCACCCCTTGCTCTTGTGCCATGAAGCCAAGGACGGAAAATATCGCGAAGCCAGACACAAAACTGGTACCACTGTTGAGACATCCGAGGAGCATACAGTCCCTATTTACACATATGTCATAAGTGATGGAGCGTGTTAATAAGGAGTGGAAGGTGACCTGAACTAAAAGACCCATTTTTCCCTCATAACTACTCCGATAAAACCCCAAAGCATTCCCCCCCGGTGCTATACATACCGGTAACAGTTGTACTTATACTTATTGTAGCTCCCCAGGGATGTCATGGCTCCGAGACAGATTGCATACGAGAAGAAAATCTGGGTCCCTGCGTCGATCCAAACCTATGGGCGAGGAAATAAAGGGTTGGAGTTTGGAAACATGGATGAAGAATAGGGTAGTAGCACCCCAATGCCTCAGTCAACACACCTCACCTCTGAATCATGATTCCTATTTGGTTTTTTTTCCTATCATTTGGTCCTCTTACTTTTTGGGGGGATGTGGGGGGATGGGGGAATGTGCACGTATCTGCTTTTCAAGGCTTTTTGAAGAAAAAAAACACAGATGAAGTGCCAAAGCTGTCCTGAAAACCTCTAGAATTCTATACACACATCTGAAAAGGAAAATAGGAGAGCATCTGGAGGAAAGTGCAGGTAATGGGACTAAGCAGACATGATTTGTACACAGGGCACAAGAGCTGGATGGTCTTTCACTTCGCGATGAAACATTCCATGATTCTATACAAATTCTACGCAAGAATAGGAGGAACGATGAGATGAATGGTTAGATGATGGCAAGATTGGATTTAAAGGGCTGTAGATGGTAGGGGGGCAGGATTGACTGGGGCAGGAGGTGAGGAGAGAGGCGATCCAATCTGTGACAAAAATAAGCAGGAAATGAGTTGGGAGTAGGAAACAGTGCAACGAGGATCGATTTCAGGACAGGGAAGGAGGGAGGGAGGGAGGGAAGGAGGAAGAATATTGGCACATTAGCTTTTAAAGAACAAGAGAGGGAATTTCAGAAGAATGTGTCTAGGCGTTAAGTGATATGAAACATTACCGTCAACTCTGGGTTGGACACAAAGAGGACTTACCTGTGGATCACCTAGACGCGAGATGTCAGGATACAGGTAAAATTTGATTCCCTGAGCTGCTCCTGGCAGGGTCACTCCGCGGATCAACAGCACCAACAGCATCAAGAACGGGAACGTCGCCGTAATATAAACCACCTGACCAACAAAAGCACACACAGAGCTCCACGTTAAACATGTTTGGCAAGACGCTTCTGAACAGGAACAATACCAAAGATATGGGGAAAGAGCAGTCAATTAGAGCACTCAGGCTGGAGGTGTTGATTTGTCTCCTTCTATGTTGCAATGTCTCTAATATTTGAACTGAGAAAGCCCCAGAACTTGGGAGGTCAGACACCCAGTTGCTGGTTGCTCCTTGTCCTTTTGGTCAGGTCTAGATTGTTCGATGTAAATAATAATAACTAATAATAATCCATGCATTTGATAAGCACCTTAAGACACACAGAAACATCCATTCTCTTTTTGAGTAGTGCCATCGGATCTTTTAAAATCCAACTCAAATAATCAGACAGGACTTCAGTTTAATATTTTATCCAAAGGACAGCACTTCTGACAATACAGAACATGAGCTAAAATGCCCTGACTATGTGCTTGAACCCCCTGAGTCAGAGGTGAGAGAGACATATATCAACAACAACAACAAGATTGCATTTATAGAGCGCCTTTCACGTCAGGAGGACGTCCCAAGGCGCTGGACAGTTGGATCGGGACCCGAGCAGGGGGAAATGGTCATGGTGAGGGGAGGAAAAGGAGGGAGCGAGGAGCGGGTAGAGAGTCGAGAGAGGAGGTGAAGGCACAGTTGAAGAGAAAGGTCTTGAGACCGGCCTTGAAGGAGGAAAAAGAGGAAGCAAGGCGAAGGCACTGGGGGTTGGAATTCCAGACCAACTGAGTCAGCCTGACACCTAAATAATGGGGAGAATGATAATTAAGTAGGAAAGAAAACAGTGGATGACGAAGGGCTCGACAACAGAAAGGCTGTGTTCTTTGAAAGATGCTTTCCATTATTTATATGCAGTTTGAGGGCAATTTTTAATGAATCTTGGTTGTACTGCTGCAGTTAGACCTGAGATTTTTTCACTTGAATGAAATCAATGGGACTGAGTTGGAAATAGAATATAGGAATTTAGGGCTTGGTTGTAGAGACCCTGAGACAGACAAGTCCTAACAGGTAAGATGGTCCTCGGAAGCTATGCCAGTGTTTGTGTTAGTAAACTGTGTAGTTTTACAGCTTAAACTTCAGCAGTGACCCAACTGCACACTCTGGTACCACCAAGCTTTGGCTCTTTGTGTGTTTGGTATTCTTACTTCCTGAATGTAGCACCTTGTATTTATTTATGTTAAACTTAATTGCCAGTTATCAGCCCATCTGCAAACCCCACCAACCTCTCTTGTAAGAGTTTTGCTGCCTCCTCCAATTCCACAGTTAACCCAACCTCGGGTCACCTGCAAATTTAACTACCTTAATCTTGGTCTGTGAATTTAGGTCATTAATATATACGTATACATAAAGGAACAGGAGGGGTCCTAATACCACCCCCCACCCACCCGGCACCCCTGCTTAATACTGTTCCCCCCATTTTGCCCTGACTCCCTTAACAAAGACCTTCTGCTTCCTTGCCTTCAGTCAATTCTGGATCCATGATCATGCTTTGCATTTGATTCTAACCATAAAACATTCTACATGGCTTTGTACAGCGTACAGCATATAACAAAGGTTAAAAACAAATGGCAGCGACATAAGATAAGTGCAGAAATCCAACGGCAACAACAACAAGATTATATTCGTATAGCAATAATGGTTAGGTCAAGTCAATCATGAGAATTAAAAGCCCGAAAGTTGTCTGAGGAGGCGTAGACTGAGAGATACAATACATTCACACCCTTGATGCTCTTGGGAAGAATGAGTTAGTATAAACAGCCCAATGCGTTTTGATTAAAACACGGGTTGCCTCGGGGAGAAGTTGGAGCATGCAGGGTGACGTATTTGAAGTTTAGTGTAAACAAGAGGAAAGCTGGGAGAACCAGTGGCTATAATAATGTTGCTAATAGAGAGACAAGGGTAAGGTTGTAAAGGTTTGAGAGAATATGAAAGCCAGACACAAGAAAAGATTACCTATCCGATGACACTTTTCTTGCACCCTGTTTCCCGGAAAGGAAGAGAGATCCTAGAAGATTTCCCCCCAGATAAGGGAGTGTGTGCTGTGAGTGTGCAACCTGAAGGAAGTTGATGAAGAATGGATCATCAGCAAAAGAAAGGATAGGTGAGGTTTAATGAAGAGTGGGGCGTGAGAGAGAGCGAGAGAGAGAATTGCACCTCCGGAAACTCTCAAGTTGACGAATTTAGAGCCGGGATGAATCCTTAATTTCAGCGGTGTCGGTAATTTGAGAGGGAACGAGAAAGCCAGAACAGAGTTTATTAGACGACCAACTGTGGAAAGGAGAGGTAGTTGGAAAGGCAAGAGGTATTGTCTTTCTCAGAAATAGGATTAACATAGAAAGAGTAGAAGGTGGCGTTTCTGAGGTCTTTTAGACACCTTGATGACATGATAAGACCCTACACCAAATGCAAGGATTATTATAATCATCATCAGGCTTTTTTTTGTAGGCTAGCCCTCTAGTGCTATCTTTCTCTCTTGTCTTTCTCGCTTTCTGTCTCTAACTTTCCATTTCTTTCTCTCTGTGACGCTCTCTACCTCCACGTGTATACCATTTCTTTCTATATATTGATCATCAAAATAGGAACAATTACTTTTGTGCGACCTGGTTAAAAAAAAATCCAGTCACCCACGTGTGCAAAGTTACACGCCAAGTAACTCAGTAAGTTTTTGCACATAATGCACAATTGGATTCTCTTACAATAGCCAAAAGAAATGGGTAACTTTGCTTCCCAATCCTTCAATGACAGATTGCCACTGAACTGCCTCCCATATGTGAAACGGTTTGGTGGATTCGGCGCATTAGACCCCAAGCCATTGCTATTTCTATCACTTGGTGCAGGACTGGTTGGCTCCAAGGTGACACGCACAGCAACGGTACGTCACAATCAAGTCAACCCTCTGCGGAAGACTCAGTCATCTGATTGCTCACTAAGCAGGATGTTGACTGGAAGTGACTCAATCTCACATTATATTTACTTTACATAAATAAATAAATTCCTTGTCGTTTAATTATTGATCATTTGAGATTTCGAACACCCAGATAAGCAAGCTCACAGCTACATTAGCAGAATATAAAAAGGTTAAAATATTTGAATAGCTACGGCCATATGGTTCATACCAGCAAAACTTAGCAAAAGCGTATATACATTCCACTGTTGCATTATTCTCATGTGAAGAACAATTAAGTCTTTCGTCCAGAATGCTTCAGGGGTCTGCAGACCACAGAGCAGCCATGACTTGGGAGAGGCAGACAACAACAATAATAATATCTCCTCTGTTCTCGGGACTTCACTGGAGCAGGGATTCTTCCCACTTGATTTCTATTGACGCTGCAGGCCTAACCCCTAACGGTTCAGGCGGTCTTAGCTGGACAATCAGCAGGAAGCTTGCCAGATAGTGTTCTCGATGCCGAGCTATTTGCTTTAGATGGTTAAGTTCCAACACAACCTCAACGTACATGCCGCGGTCCCTTAAACCAGCACCAAATACACTCTGGATTAGGTGCGGAAGGTGTGACTGTCCAGAGAACGAGAGAGAGAGAGAGAGAGAGAGGGGGAGGGAGAGTCTCTAGTCTATTCCAGACAAAAGCGAAATCTCCATGTGTAGATGGCATACATATGTGGAATTTTCAGTCTGGTTAGGACTCTCAATCGTGATGATGAGCATGGTATGTCCTCCGACATGAAAGGCGCTTTACAAATGTAATTTTGTATTGTATGTGTCAAACACCCAGCTGACCAAAGCCTCTGTCAACACAGACTTCCTATTTCTTTTATCTAATTCTCATTCCCTAATTCGCCTTACATCAGCTTATCGCACATGACTTATAGGGGGCAAAAGTCTGAATGCGCACTTGTTGTGGCAGCTCCCTGTGATTTTCATTAAAGTCATAAATGTGGATGCTTTAACTTGGCAACAACAGGATGCCAAAGTGCATTTGATCAGCAAGTAGCATTTTATTGGCTTAGTGGTTAATTATTCACGTGGGGGGAGCAGGAAAACACCCCCGTTGGTGCCCCCCCCAAATCCCTCTTATGCTGCCAACCTAACAACGAAGCTCAAAAGAGACTGCACACTCACCTTTCCTGTCGAACGCACTCCCTTCCAGATACAGAAGAAGCAGATGACCCACACTGCAAGCAGACAAAGCGCCAGATCCCATTTCAGTTTGCCCAAGTTGTCGATGCCACTGGACAGGCTCAGCACGTTCCGTCTATCAAACAGAGGAGAAACGTTTCACTTACAATCGCGCCGTTCAGGCGAAACAAGAAATCCAGCAAGGTGTGACTACAATTCCAATCAAGTACCACCATGGAGCTTTCGTATGGTCACTGAAAGCAGAAGAGCGTGCCAAGGGGGCTCTGAGGGATTAAGCTGGCATGCAAAAAAATCAAAATGCTAGCTTTTAAAATGAATCCCATTTACTCTTTTTGCGACAGCAACATCATAGCAGAAAGCTGGAATGGCCTCTGAAGGTCAAAGGTAAAAGGAATGGTAAGGGTCCCATGAACAGTTGGGAGGTTTCCCGGAGACCTATACTGTATATAGAATGTTCTGGATTGTTGCCCTTGATATCCGGCCATGCTCTGCCCATCAAATTCCGGGGGCACCCCTAATATGTTTTACAAATGGTACGGCTAGATACCGACGTGGAAAGCGCGATGCAAATGCAATTTGCTGCTGCTGTTGTTTGTTGTAAGATAATGGAAGCTAAAATAGACGGTGTTTGAATATATGTTGAAAATCTGCTGTATTGATGGACGGATCTCGTCTCAGCTTTCTTTGTTTTTTTTTACTTAATATTTTTCAGTAACTACTCAGTTAGATGATGGATGTCAATCCTGGGGAATGAATAGGAATACTCTCCCCACTTTGGGCACAAAGTGCCAGATTGTGGTGCTCCCGGGTAAGATTTAGCATACGTTTGATATGGAGTTTAGCTCCTTCAAACCTGCTTATCAAGTACAGGATTAGATGCAGAGTCAAGATTCCTGTACTCTAACCTTAAATGTAGCCTCAGAAGAACACCCCTACTGCACCAGTGTGATATTTTCCATTTCCCGCATCAGCTTTACTTTGTGGCATCTCCTAGTAAGACTGCCAGTTCAGTACCAATAGCAGAAGTATAAAGGTAGATTTGCAACCAAAGTGATCATTCTTCTAAAGGGTAGAGTGAACAATGAGTGTCGACAATGAGGCTATCTCTCCAGATAGGGACTGCTTGATACTGTCCTCACCCAATATCCATAAAGCATGCTGTTCCAGGTGGGATCACTGGACATAGATCAAGAGTGGGAAATTTGGTTTATTTTCCCCTGCCCGCCTCAGACGCGCTGAGGTCAATTGCAGTGCCTGCTATCTCTCTTCCAGCTAAGATCTGCTAACTCAGCACAGACCAGGGATGGACCCTCACACCTTCCTGGTTGTATGGCTCAGTAGCTTACACAACCGTGCACCGGGGGGGAAGGTTACTGCTCGTCTCCATTGGAATTTGAAGAAGGCATCACATTGGTCTTCAAAGCACATGTAAAATAACTCTATATATCAGACCGCCGAGTAAGGCTTTTCTTCATTGTGCATATTTTTTTCTACTAGATCTAATTATGCCAAGGGACCCTGAGTAAAATTATCATCAAAGTGGAATACTTTTGGCTTTCTTACTCCCAAAATTCTGTCACAGGAGATGTGAAGTTGGTGGCGTTGGCAGACAGCCACAGGGAGACATTCTTCCTCATTTTGTCGTCAATGCAGTTCGGGGTGTTCCAGGAATGGATACATCTAGCCCAGGGCAGCTCATCCCGAAAGGTCTGGAAGAGGTAGTAGAGTCCCCAAGCCAAAATCACGATGTAGTATATATTCAAGAGGGACACAATGACGATGGATGCACAGCCGATTCCTACTCAGCCAAAACAGAACATAATCCTTTTTTAAAAAAAAGTCTAGCGATTAACATTTAAACTCTTTTTTTTCTCTCTCTCTCTCAGTTTCCCCCGAATTTAAGTTTGTTTTGCTCACTAGGCTAAGAAGATGGCAACCCCGATCGTGTGCTTTTTTTCCATTTCTTTTTTTCTTTCTTAACTAAATCAAATTCCCCCACCCCACCGCCCCCCAACCCGCCCAACCTTCCCCCCTAAACCTAGAGTCCTTAATGACCATCTTTCTTTAGCCAGCCAACAGGCAAGTGAGATTGCCAGAGCAGAGCTGGATCGTGGACTTTGTGGCTTCTGAAATCAACCCCCTAGAACTCATTTCACTTTGACCCTGAACAGCCAGTGAGAGAAGAGTGTTATGGTCAGTAGGGGGTAGGACAGATGTTCTCAGTAAAAGCCACTGCTATCTACGGTGCACCTATTTGAGGGGGGATGTGTATTCAGAGTGAAAGTAGTTTTTTAATCTCTCCAATCACTTATTGGTCTTCCCGTACAAAACTGACATCCATGACAGAGAAGGAGTGGAAGAAACCCACTCTCAGGCCAGTATTAGCTTCTAGAAGGTGTTCATCATTGGTCCTGGTTTAAACTCCCTCCAATTATTTTTCAGTTCCCGTTGGGTACACACTGGGCTCTGCCAAGCACCTCCTTGCTCCAGCACTGATAAGATCAGAAAACCTAGCCCATGGGTAAGAGCATGGGCACAGCACGAGACTAAGTGCCAATAACTCCCCTCTTCCCCTGTATTACATCCCCACTGATCGTAACAGGGTATCTCTTTCATACTTTGGATTGCCTATAATGATCATTTCTATGTATAAATATGCAAAAAAAAAAAGTTTTTTTTTTCCAACAGCATATTAATCCACGTAAAAAGCATCATTCATTTACTACAAGAAAGCTGAACTGCAAAATTCAATGCGATTCCTTTAATGCAAAACCGATTCAGGCAACGAATGCATTGGGTTAGAATGTAAATGTTAAATACTCCCACAGAGCTTCAGAAAATCCTGTCATTTTTTTTTTGTTTAACACACGTGAGAAGCAGTCTATCGAGAATTCAAGTGTTTCTCATGAATCTTTTCTCCCAATTTCTGCACCTCACCCATTCTCTCAGGAAGGGAGTGAATAATATTGGGGGTGTGGTTAGATATAGATGCCGGCAAATCTCTGGGGCATTGCTCAAAATGAGCGAGCGTTCTTAATGAGCGAGCATGGGCAGCAAGTCTCAGGAAGGTAAATCGATGGTGAAAGGCATCTCAGCTGAGTACAATCCTCCCTTCACCCAACTTCTACACAGGACTATTCTCTCCAGCAGCAACCACCTGAGAGTGGGCATCACTGGGCCAGACAACCATTACAAACAGCAGCATATTAAAGGAAAATCACACATTACTTACATGTCAGCTTTCAAAATGAAGGCTCTCCCCCCCCCCCCCCACCCCCCCCACCAATTCCCTCCTCCCCACCACCGCCCCCATAATACCTTTTTCTGGTTCATTTTCTTACCATAAATGACATTGCATTGGACTTGGAAATCCATCAAACCTCTGAGAAGATAAGGCAACACTAAAAGCTCAGGACTAGTTCATGCAACAATCAGATACATCACTACGGCCCAATAAAATCAACATGATTTCTGCTTGCTCACATTGCTGCTTTTGCTCTCACTCACCTCCACGTGTGCCTCACCTTGGCCATCGAGGCAGTGAACTGACCTGCAAGAGACTTCATTCAGCCCGTCCCCGTGTTCGCTACTTTGGATCAAGCCCCCACCAACGGGAACACAAGACGCACGGAGGAGTCAGGCTTTTTTTTTTTATTTTGAATTAAGGCGGTAAATATTGGACATTGTAACTCACCAGAGAAAATGGGGCAGAGTTTCTCCCAACAGGTGATTCCTCCTTCAGAGGTATACTGACCAAGTGCCACCTCCAGGAAGAACACAGGCAGACCTCCCCCGAATAGGAAGATAAAATAGGGAATAAGAAAAGCACCTAGGTGGAGGAGGAGGAAGAACAAAAACAAATATTGAGATGACGTTTTCACAATTATCATTTTCGGTTCAATACTTTTAGACGGGTATTCATCAAATTTCTTCCTCTCTGAATCATATCGTTCATTCTTTTTTACCCACAAAATATACAGTCGATTCACATTACAATATATCCCGTGAAGCGCTTTCTTGAGACGTCTCGAAGGCGCGATAAGGCGCTATATCAAATGCATGGATTATTATTAATAACATTAGCGATTCATATTCTGCTGTTTCAGATCATGTGCAGTAGAAGTCATATACAGAACAAAGCCTCCTCCATACTGTCCTATGAAGCACCCTCAAGCCATATACAGTACAGGTTAGATAGAAAGGATCCAGTACAATGTACCAGGTCAAGTGGTTTAGATGTGGAGTAAGGCTCACACGTTCACTCTCTGACAATGGGGCCTCACTAACAGCAGCCTCACTCAGCTCTATGAAAAGCACCCTCGAGTGATGCAAAAGGTTCTGAGTATCAGGCTCATGACTGCTGGCGCGATCCCTGATGACTAAAAAGATCAGACGGGATTAATGAGATGTTTTCAGGCATTGAAAATTGAACAACCGGACAGCTAAGGACCAGGCAATACAACAGAACCTCATTCACACTCATCACTCACTACCTGTGCTGAATTCTACATTTCCCAAATCAGCAACATTACGTTGTAAAGATGATATCAGTCCAGCGCACACAAAGGCCGAGGCTGCAGTGTAAATGGGGCATAAGGCACTTCACCTCCCGACTCCGGAGTGCCTGTGACTCAAGTTATTTCCATGACCGTGGTAACTATTAGTATTTTGTCTGGCGAAGCCTTTTTGTCCCACGTTTCTTTTGTGGCAAGGACGCAGCTGGAATTGAACCAGGGCTAAGGGGCAAAGCCAGAACATTGACATTTTACTTGATAAAAGTTATCAGCTTGTCTTGTCAATAAGTTTATCCTTGAACGGACAAACAAAAAAAGAAAAAAAAATCCAAGGTCTTGTGATAAGAGCACGATTTGCTTTGAACTGCATGTGTGAGCTGGGCAGGATGGAAACCTTTTTTCACCTTTCGGATCAGTGCGACTCAGCCACAAGCCAACTCCCTCTCTGCTATTTTCCTCCCTCCGTGTCCGCATCCTCTCCGTTTTTAGATTGTACATGGGTTTCTTTGCAACAGAATGAGAGAGGAAATAAAGCTATCCACAATGGAGTTCACTTGTTGTTGCAATGCTGACGGACGGAGGAACACTTATGGGTCGTGATTTGGCTAAGGCTGTGCCGCTCTGACTGCATTCCTTCACCTGTCGTGGCAACAGTCCCAGGGGTTTGGATTGCTTGTCTGCATTGCTACGTCAACCCACAGCTTGAAGGCAGCTCTGGGGCTCAGATAAGCAGGTGCCAGCCAGCAGCAAGCAAGTTTAGACGCACAGAGACTGCAATTTCAGGCATGTCCGGCTAAATGAAAGGTTCTGAACCCACGTAATCATTGGCGCTTCCAATTGCCAATGCCTAATCCTGCGCTCAACCAACATGAGGCGCTCGGTAACTTCCAAGGTCAGGCTGAGCCACTTTGCCCGCCTTGACAGTCCTGGGTGAGATTGGCATTTTGATGGCGTTTCGTAGGAGCCACCAACTTCCCTAAGCTGTGAAGCATTGCTGCGCAACCTCTCTCAGGACCCAATATCTTTTCAAGAACTGACTACCTCAAATGATGAAGGTTTCCTGTGGTACCCAAGAAGTCTTGCTGAACTTTTCGTTCCCTTTCAATACCAGACTTAACAACGGCACATGAGATTGAGTCTCATTCCTTGTTGTTGTTGGTGTTGTGGTTTTGAACGCTCCATTTAAGACAACCAATTAACTGGTCTGCACAAGTAGGTTTAGCAGATTTAACCTGGTTTACAACAATAATAATAATCCTTGCATTTGATGTAGCGCTTTTCATGTCTTCTCGACGTCTCAAAGCGCTTCACAGAATATGTTGTAAAGTGAATTGACTGTATATTTGTGGGCGAAACGCGGCAGCCAATTGCGCACAGCAGCGTCCCACAAACAGTCGTGGATTGAAAATGACCAATTTATTGTTGTTTTGTTTTGGAGGGATTATTATTAGGCTGTGTGTGGAGTAAGGAAACTTGCCCAAGGTTTCGCCCTCTGCCTGGAATTGAACCCAGATGTCTCGCTTGCAAGGCGAGTGCTCTAACCACTGAGCTACAGGACTCCGGTTTGTGCTTACACTGCTTAAAAAAAACTATTAAAACTGCTTACCTGTGATAAGGCACATTATTATTATTAATAATTTCTTATGTATTTACATTCTTGCACACTGAATTTTTCTTGCTTATCTGCCTCGTATATTGCTGAGGTTCTCAATCTATATTCATGCATTGCCTGATTATATTTGTTCACGTGACATTAAAAGATCCCTATTTAAAAAACAAGAAGGAAGTTTCTCTCAGTATTCTGGCCAACAAACGCCCCCAGATATATTACAAAAATTGTCCACGTTCCATGGCTATCTGTGACACATTGCTGCGTGCACATAAGCTGCCTTGTTCAACCACAAAACACTCCAAGTCACTCCGCTTGACAATAGATCCTGTGAAAAGCTTTGGCATGTCCTCCTGATGGGAAACACTCGATGCCAAATGCAAGGAATATTATTTTATTGTTAGTAATAATAACTTATGTCAGGACTTGATTTACTTTGAATCTCACAATAAAAGCTTCTCGCACAGCACTGTTATATTACGCCGGTGGCATTCAGGGTTTGCAAACACCATGTGTTCCAAAGTTTTACTAGGGGCCACGCTGTAAATCTCACAAGCTCCCAACTGCACTTGTCGCTGACAGTATAATTGAGCGTTCACGGGTCAGTTCAATGTTTTGGCCTGCCTGCCTATCTCCTTGTATGGCTGCAATGGTTAAATAATAATAATAATCCTTGCATTTAACATCGTGCTTTATCACCTCTTCGAGACGTGTCAAAATGCTTCACAGAATACGCTGTAAAGTGAATTGACTGTGTATGTATTTTGGGGGCGAAACGCAGCAGCTAATTGCGTACAGCAGCGACCCACAAACATTCGTGAATTGAGTGACCGAATTACTATTATTTTTTTTCGAAGGAATTATTATCCCCGGAAAAGCGATCCGCCAAGTGACTAACAACCGGGTTTCTACTTACGTTTCACCCGGCTGGGACTCGAACCCAGGTCCCCTCGCTTGCGAGGCGAGTGCTCTAACCGCTGAGCTACAGGCCTCAATGCAAGGATTATTATTATTATTTAACCATGGCAGCCATACAAGGAGATAGGCAGGCAGACAGGCCAAAACATTGGACCAACCCGTGAACGCTCAATTATAATAGCTTGTTCAGCTGCTTAAGTACCTGCTTGTGGGGACCTGGATTCTATTCTCCGTGTGCTTTTATCAGTCAGCCACTTGCTGAATGCTGAGCATCGAAAATAGCAGCATCGCACATCCAGTGCAAAATAAAAACCCCAAACATGGTCTTACTGTTCCAATGCTCAGACGCCGGAATTTTAATCCTGTAGACTATACAACCTTCATTTGACCAAGTATAGATAAATAGAATCATTGCGCGCGTGTGTGTGTGTGTGTGTCTGTGTCTGTGTGTGTGTGTGGGCGGGAAGGGAATCTGGATTATGCATATTCTCTTTGTCTCGCAGATCACCGTGCTTAACATACAACAGCAATAACGACAATTTGTATGTATACAACGGCAACTCATGCAAGGCGGCGTTCCAGAACGCTTTGACAGCGGCGGAGCACGATGATGTATGAATCAAGTCGTTTAGAATCGTAATTCTGCACTCTGATAGACTGTTTTAGTTTTTCTGGATTGGTTTAAATTGGTCTGGGTCATCTGCAGGATTTGGTTGCTCTGTTACAATCGTGTCAGTAACATGAGACCCTGATCTGGGTCCAAGGAGGCTTAAATGCTGCATTCCAGTAGGGCACGGTTTCACTGACTCGATCAATTTCAGAGCCAAATCGTTGAATCTCTTCTCGTGCCATGACTATAACCAGTTACAGAAGCATCCAAATTTCCACGCGCGAGAAGGGAGTCGTCTAAATTGACCCACACTTTTGGGTAGGAATTAAATGTGCGTCACCCGAACGTATTGGCACGAGATCAGCATCGAATTTTCACACCTGCTGTGTGCCCATATAGCGAGTTTGACAGGCTGAGTGATATGAGTTATTGCCTGTCAAACCTCTCATGCATGTTCAGCCCGAGCCCTGAGGTTCTCTTGCATCAGTGACCACGTGATTTGAGCGGGGAATGGCCTGCGGCGCTGGAAAATATTTCAAGGCAGAGAAAGAAGTTGAACAAAAGAAAATTCTGTCTGGGTCAAGACAGCTATTTGACCTTGGTGGAACTGGAATGTTCAATGCACTCTTGAAGAACCTTCCTCCCAGTTGTGGATTTTCATATTATGGAACATATCTACAGCCAATCATTACTTACATTATTCAGATAATAAATAATCCATGCAATTGATGTACCGCCTTAACAGGTCGTTGAGACGTCTCGAAGCACATCACAGGATATACTGTAAGGTGGAGTGGATGTGTATCTTGTAAGCAATGTCCCCCAAATAGCCACGGAATGAGTGACCTATTTTATTTGGGGGTCTGTAGGTCAGGACACAGGGAGAAAGAAACTCCCTTCTCTTTTCGAATAGTGCAGTGGGATCTTTTAACATCCACCTGAACAGGTAGACAGGACCTTAGTTTAACGTCTCATCCAAAGGAGGGATATATCCCTCTTAAGGCATTTTAGTATTATCTCCAACTGATGGCTCAATCAGTTAACCACTGCCAGTATGAAACTAAAACAGAACATTACTGTGTTGAGCGATCATATCTCAGGAGAGGGCTTCTAGTCGCTAGGGTAATTAATCGAGGTTTCTCCACTCCTGTAGGCTAACCAGTCGCCCCTGCAAAGTA